AAAAAAAAAAAAAAAAAAAAGATAGGACTGTTTTCCTTTTTGGAGAAGTCATTATTTGTGTATAGAAATGCAACTGATTTTTATATGTTAATTTTGTATCCTGCAAAGTTACTTGATTCATTTGTTAGTGCTAAGAGTTTTTTCTGGAGTCTTGGGATTTTCTATATACAGGGTCATGTATTCTGGAAATATAAATTATTTTGTTTCCTTCTTTCTGATTTGTGTCTTTTGTTTCTTTTTCTTGCCTAATTGCTTAGGTGAGCATGTCTAGTACTATGTTGAATAGAAATTACTAGAGTGGGCAGCCTTGTCTTGTACTGGAACTTAGAGAAGCTTTCCATTTTTCCCATTGATTGTAATGTTAGCTGTGAGTTTTTCATTAATGGCCTTTATTTGGGTATCAGACCGGTACCCAAATGAGTTCTAGGGCCACAGTATATACTTAAGAAATTTTTAAAAATTGAGCTAAACTTTCCTTCTGGTGAAATGCACTGATCATAAGTATACTATTCAAAAAATTTTGAACGAATGTATACCCCTATGTTACCAGTGCCCTTGTATATGGAACATTTCCATTATCCCAGAAAGTTCCTGAAGACTATCATCACCCCTGAGATTGCTATGCTGGAACATAAGAAGAAAGTTAGTTTTCACTGGAGCATGAATCTCATTGAAATGAATCTGAGAGAAAAATTGTAAAATCTAAATCAAAAAAAGGTTGGGGGGAGTAACACAAAGCTAAGAACTCCAAGTTGTTCTTGTCCTAATCTTATCTGCCTCCTACCCAGAATCCCACTGAGGTATATCTTGGACCATTCTGCAGTAAAACCTGGTTGCTTTTCTGAAGCTTTCCAGAATTTCTGTCTAGTGAACAGATGGCATTGTTTTCATACAAAGAGCAAAAGAATTTCATGTATTCAAACACCAAAAACTTGGAAAAACACAGAGAGCATGAGTGGTTATTAAAATAGGGGAAAGAACATGGTATGTCAACAGAGAGCTAGACTCTGTCCAAAGAAAGAATCCATTTGGGTCCTTGGTCGGTCATCTGGACTCTGCAGGGGAGTGTCAAAGTTGAGGACTGATGTGCTACACAAAGGTGTGCACTGATGTGCTAAAACAGGTGCAGGCCTGGCTAGGGTTTCATTTACAAGGATGACTGAATTGTTCTTTCTATATACAAAGTTCCTATTCTATGATTGCCCTTGAAAAAATGTCCAGTCCCTGCCTCCAGGGCTTGCAGCATGATGGTGGAGACAGACTTATAATAGAGCCACATAGAATATGAGAACAAAGTGTAGGGGCTCCTAACTCAGCCTGCAGGAATCAGAGGAGGCTCCTGGGAAGGTGATGTCTGAGTGAGGCTTATGAGGTGGCTGGAAGCTGGCCAGGGGAGGGGTAGTAATGAGGTAAAGGACAAGATGAAGGCTTTCCAGCCTAAGGGGACAGGGTGAGCAAGGGCATGGAGGCCCCAGGAGCAGGGTGAGTTCGGGGAGGTCATACAAGCAGTTTCCCGTGGCTGGATAGGACAGGGAGTAGCAAAACATGAGGCCAGAGATGCAAGCTAGGTGTTTGAAAATATCTGAATATAGGGAAATATCTGAGCACATCATTATACAAGTTCATGCAAATCACTTGCAAAACAAGATGTATCCTGTCAATAAACCTATTCATAAGGTTGAGAGGGTGGACACATTGGTAGCGGAACTTCACTGCCAAGATCAACGGTTTGCATGCAGGAAGAATTATTTATGCATTTATTTAATCTAATCACATATATACAACATGTGCTAAATGCCAGGCACTACAGGCCCCATGATAAATTCTATATTCCTAACACAATGACTAGCACTTAGCAACTCTGTCCAAAGTGAGCATGCCATAGCTGATTGTTGGAGGAATAAATGAATGAGCAATTTGTGCTTTTGCCCAAAGAGTTTACAGTCTAGTGGGAGAATCAGAGAGGTAAGCAAATTATAATCTATCAAATGATCATACTTAGGATAGGGCAGGGAATTCATCCTAAAAGCACCTGCAAGTGCCAGGCAAGCAGAGTAATGAAGTAGAAAACATCTCCAGGTGTAAGACAATAGGGAACAGTGGAGAACACTGCAAGTGGTGAGTATGAGCCCATTCTACAGGGGAACATCTGCTACTCAATTCCAAATCGATTACGATCAAAAGGAGCTAGAAATGTGTATTTTAGTCAAAGGAAATGTTATTTTCTAAATTGGTTTGCTCCCAGATGCTCAGGATTCCAGTAGAATTAGCCTGGTACCTACATGGAGGTAATGGCACAAAGGAGGCAGTGGTTAGTAAGAGAGAGGCCTGACAAACTTCCTTTCTGGATGGACATGGTATGGGATTCAGTGGCTTCCGTAATCAGAGGGGGACACCACAGCCCTCAGTGCTAAGAGGGTAAACCGTGTCAGGTACTGCCAGCATCCAAGACCCCTGCTCCTTGGTAGCCCTTCGGGCTCCTGTGCACCTAGTGAGGCCCTAACTTTAAGTCAGTCTCTGACCTTCTTAGGTCTGGCCCAGGCTCCAGAGCAGCTCCTCCCCCAAACTGCCACAGGATCTGTGTGGCAGTGGCTAATTCCCTAGCCATGGGGATCTGTTTGGGGCTGTTTGTTTTGCAGAAGAAAACAGAAGGCTTTAGTGTATCGGAATCCTGCCCCTCCTCCTGCACCAGTGCCTCCCCCACCACATGAAAGCTGCTGAGCAAACAGAGAAATCAAAGATGATTATACGCTGCTGGAAACCCGCGTGCTTCCGCCTGGCTGCGTCTCCCTGCCAAACTGTTATGTAAGCCACAGCCCCACTTAGGCCTGGAATCAAACAGAGATGCCATTGAGAGCCCTCCCTTGACCCACTCATCACCTGCAGCCTGGCTCAAACCATGTCTCACCTGGAGTAGACCTACCCAGGGAGGGCCATGCACGATGTGTAGCTGGCAGGTGGCTTTTCCATTTGTTTTGGGATTTCCCTCTCTCCTTTCCCATCTAGCACGGAGGTATGGGTGGGTCAGGACCAGGCATTTACTTTGGTTAGATTCCAAATGACTAAGATATTTTATGATGGAAAACTCCATTTGACAATCCCGGGGAGTTGAGTATTTTTCACCCTCCTAAGTGAATAATTCACTTTGGCTGTCTAGATACCAGAGCTGAACAAGTAGCTCTGGAGCCTGAGATGACCTCCTCACCAGAAAGGGCCTACCCACACTGCTCTGATGATCAGTACTTACTTCTATTTAGCGATTCTGGGCATCTTCCTCAGCCCCAAACCACCTACATGGACTTATAAGAGCTGTTCCTTAAATGCCTCAGTGACTTGGGTAAATGAGCTGAATTCTCCGGGCTTTAGTTTTTTCTTTCTGCATCACAGGGTGAGGAATACTCAATGGCTCCACAATAAGTGTGCTAGAAGTTTTAAGTGCTAATATTGGCTTTTGGACACTGTTATAATTACATCTGAAGTGAGATGTCAGGCTCTTTGGTGTTGACAGTGCCCAAGTGTTTATACTCGTATCTATTCAATGCTGAAATTCATTACTATCTCCCTTTTGCAGCCTTAACTGACTATGCGCCAGTGTGACGGGCTCAGATCTCAAGTAAAAGAGGTCTGAACTTTGGAGCAGATAACACCTGTACTGGAGCTATATCTTGGTCTTTCAGAGACTATGCGGCCTTGTGCTGTGGCTGAAACTGTGCTAAGTCCCTGGAACCTCCAGGTTTCTCTTAATTTTCCTACATTTAATCAGAAACGCATAAAGATTCCAAGAGGGCCAGTCCTGGCTTTGGAAAATGATTCACCATCTTCCACTTTACACTTGTTCCAGTCTGGAAAGGGTGAATAGGAAACCCTTTGCTGTTCGGTGAGATTGCCCCAGGAATGAGGAGCTGGGCTGGGGTCTCTGGGCCCTTGACTCTTTTCCCATCAATGCTGGGGGCCGGGGCACCTCAGAAGCCAAGACGTCTGCTAGTTGTTGGACTCATTCACTCTTGATGACCAAGGTACTGTAACTAGTAATTGACATAGATATCTCTTCCTGAGAAGATGAATAGCAGGTTCATAGTCCTTGCACAGGCATTTAAAAAATGCACAAACCGAAGAAGAAATTGCGTTGTCTAGATCCCAATCCCTAGCAAGACTAGTCAATAGGTCCCAGTATCCAGACAAGAGAAGGGATTTATGGGAGCACAGCATAAGCACATGGCAGGGAAAGAGAACACATTCTAAACGTCCTGAGAACTGGTTTTACCAAGCACCGCGGTCATCATGCTGTGAAAGTAATAACTGCCCTCTCATTGTCTGAATCTGAATAGGGGAACCAGCCTCCAAGTCCAGCCCCCTTCTTCAGGGAAACTTTGCTTCTCACTGTGCTTCAAGATGACCTTTGGCTGCAAACAAAAATGTGAGCCTGCATTTGGTAAAGCCTGGGTCTTTTCATTCTTCCCAGCTCTCCCAGTCCAGAGGGATAAATACCCCTGCTCCTAAAACCCAGTGGTCTCTGTGAATGAGCTCATCCAGTCCCTGCTGGCTTTCTGTATAGTAATGAAACTCATGTCGACCAGCCTTTCTACATTGTTATGTCTGTCTGTCTGGCTATCTCCCTATCTATCTATCTAGACATATAGCTATATATGATTGATATATAATATAAAGCTATATATGTATTAAATTTATAAAGATAATGCTGATGTTGTCGGGGCAGGAGCCTGAGAACTGAGGCTTTTTGCATCCCTTTCTCTCTCTGTCTCCTCCTGAGATCTCCACCTGGAGAAAGGGGATGAGAGCAGAATGAAGTTGAATATCTTGACTAAGGGAGGTGGTTTCTTCATCAGACACGCTCCTCGGAACCTTGATGGTAGTTGGAAGCTGGAGCAGGAAGGTAACAGGGAATAGCAGCCTAGTTAAAGCATGGAGCCTGCCTCAATGCCACCCTCGACTACTCCACAAATGGGGCACAACTAGAACAGGATGTTTAGGACCAGAGAACATTTTCACATGCCTGCAAACAAACAGAGTAAAATGACTGGTTAGCCTATCTGCTGATTTGTGAGATCAGCCCCTTGGAAGCCTTTTCTTCAATCCCAGGCATTATGACTGAATTCAACAACTCTTAAGAGATGGACAGAGGAGCTTGAGTCAGGATCGTGGGGTTCAAATGGCTACAATTCCCAAAGATGTTAATAACAAAGTTTAAAAAGTATGTGATCATTTTTGTCAATTATGTTTTCTCTATAAAATAAAAAAATAAACTTCAGGAATTACTGACCTATATATCTTAGTATTTAGAGTTACATTAACACGCTGGTATATAATTGTGGAGCTTCCATACTAACGTTAGGCATTAATAATTACTACTCAGTTTAATCTAGGCCATAACGTTATATACAGTAAATTGTTTCCAGAAGTTTCTAAGAATAATTCTGAAATATGCATGTGGCTGTGAAGAGTGAGGTTTTGTTTTTTTAATAAAAAATAAACTTTTTTTCTTTTTTCTCATCCCCCAACTTTATTGTTTTACAACAGTTTTAGATTTACAGAAAAATTGCAGGGATAGTACAGAGCTCCATGTACCTCTCCCTCATTTTTTCCTATTGATAATGTCTTACATCTTGTAGGACTATGCTACATTAGTTATGATTAACAAACCAATATTGATACATAATTGTTAATTAAAGCCATACCTCAGAGAATGGAGATTTCACAGAAAGTTGGCCTTGAAACTTCCCTGAGGTCTCTAAACTCAGGCCTTTCATGTGGCGGAGAGAAGCCTTTGCCGCCTTTGGAGCCCCATCGCCATTCCGGACTGCCTGCTGCTTTCCCAAGTTCTTTCTGCAAGGGGAAAAATGTTTTCTGGTCAGAAAACTTGGTTATCCATTGTAGAGCCACAATCATGAGTCTTTCTTTTAAGTTGTTCTCAAAAGCATTTTGCAATAACAGTGGAGTGAATTGGCTAAGAGTGGTGATTTTGGAATCAAATAGGTTGAAACCCAGTTCTGTCATGGATAAGCTGTTGTTTTATCAAGCTTTATTGTTCTCATCTGTAAAGTGGAAATGATAATAGTGTCTTCCTCATTAATTTGCTATGAGTATTGAATAAAAAGTTTCAGAAGCACCCAGTACCATGCCAGGCATATAATACTAGTTCAATACTGGTAGCTTAAGAGGTGAGCTCTTTTTAAAAAGCAGTTATGGCCAACAAGCTAATCAATGAGTAATCTAGATCAATTTGATGAAAAATAGCTTTTCCAACAAAGATCAGCTTCAAAGAGCAGTAGGGAGAAGAGACATCATTGTGGAAGCATACATTTAATTGTCTGAAGAATTCTCTTCACATTGGAAAGAACAAGGCAAGTATAGGGACTACTTGTGTGAAACCATGTGAGGAATCCCAGCCTGGGCAACGTGGTGAGACTATCTTTACAAAAAATACAAAATTAGCCAGGCGTGGTGGCGCACGCCCCCAGTCCCAGCTACTCAGGAGGCTGAGGTAGGAGGATTGCTTGAGCCCAGGAGGTCAAGGTTTCAGTGAGCCGTGATGGCATCACTCCAGCCTGGGTGACAGAGCGAGACCTTGTCTCAGAACAAACAACACATGTGAGGAGGTGCTCACAAGGCTTTTTCTGCTTTCCCATTCTGCTTGAAAGATTAAGGTATCAGTAAAATAAGGTATCAATAAATAAGATATCTCTATTAGAGGCATTATTGAGGGACAAATGATGTCCCAGAGGGAATTAGGAGCATTATGGAGACCTGGCTCCTTCCTTCCCATCCCCACCTCCTCCCTCACCACCTCTTCCAGCTCGCAGTCCTGGAGGCTTACTGCAACACATCAGACAGGCAGGCTCTCTGGACTGGCCAAGCCCTTTCTTGCTCTACTCCCCCCTGGGTGAGCCACCACGCCCACACCTGGCTCTTCATTGAAACTCAGCTCGGCTATCTCCTCCTCTGGAAACTGTTCTCCCGTCACCACCAGTCTGGTCACCACATGCTCCCATAGGCTCCCTCGGCTCAACCAACTTCATCACCCCTCTGCCTCACTCCGTTGGGAGTGCCATAGGTATGCAAGCCTCGCATGGCACCTGGGATGTGATGAGAGCTCACAAAATGTTGCCTCATGCCTATTCTCCAAGCATCTGCAAGCCCAGGGGCTTTTGATGCTTCCCTCAAACGCTGAGGTGGAAACAGTTGGGGAGGCACGTAGATTTGGTGAACGTTGCCTAGCTACGCCTGAAGCATAAAGGAGAAAACTTTAAAGGTTTTCTCTATAAAGAATATAACTAAAGCCAGTATAGGATTAAACAGTAACAGATAAATTATTTCATGCAGTGGTTTCCAAGCCCCAGTGCAGGAAACAATGTTGGTCTGTTGTGAAGTTTTCCTAGGTTAATGGGGATTCTCTTCAAAAAATGGCCACTGGTCTTGTGAGGGTATTCAGTGTGGTGGGCAGGGGCTGCTGGCTGAGAATGACCACAGAGAGGGGGCTGCCCTGGAGCCCACTTCCTTCAGCAATCCCAGGAGAAATACTTGGTCTGTCCTAGCCCACCTTCCTAAATATTGTGACCACTATGATAATACAGTGGAGGCAGTAAAAGTAAAGCCATTCCTTTGAGGTCACACAGCTACTAAGTTTTGAAATTAAGATCCAGGCCCATCTATCTGACTCCAGAGCATTTAACCTCTGTATCCCTCAGCATCTGGCATTTTCTCATGTTGTCAGCTTGGTGCCTGGAAGAATACAGTCTACCTGTATGAGGTTGAGCTGGCAAACCCAGGTTCATTTTATATGTACATGTATTTCCAGGCTTGATGGCATCGGTGCCCATTTATCATTTAGGAAGCATTTTATCCCACCTAATTGCCTTCCCTCATCCAATGGGTCCCTCTGGGACTGGGTAGGAAGGCAAGGTTTCAGGGTGGATACAGAAGTATCTTAATACTTTGTAATACCTGCTGCATAGTAGACTCCACTCTGCACCTAAGCTTCCAGTAGCATTCTTAGAGGTAGGATTAGTGCCATGGATTAAATAGCTCTGTAAGGGACTCCAGAAGTCTCTAAATAGGTAAATTGGACAAGAGCTTTGTATTTCTTTAAATAGATAAGAAGGGCATTGCTGGAATTTGGTAAATGTTTGTAACATATAAGATTATTTGTTATTATCTTGGTATTTTCTTGACATAAAATTGTCTTATATAAAATCCCCAGTGTAAGACACACATCACTTTTTGATTAAATTTTTAGCATCTCATGGTTTATAGGGCAGCGCTGTACCTGCAGCTGCAGGACAGATTCCTATGCAAAGAGGCCCTGGCAGCTAAGTATTGTCAAGGCGTGACTCCACACACAGCCCTGGGCAGTGCGGGCTGAAGAGCCCCTCAGCTCCATCGCGCCAGCCGGCTGTGTTGAGGAAGGTGCTCCCCGACCCCGCCGAGCAGCTGTGCTAGGGGAAGCCGTTGCTATTTCTGTCAGGATGATCATCCCAACTGACAGCATTCCTTCCCTCTAAGGTGATGAGCTAGCTCAGAGCAACTATGAGCTGATCCAGAAATGAAGACCCATCAAGCAGCCACAGAAACAGACAGAAGCCGAAGGCAGACCCACACCTTCCCTCTAGCTTCTGCTGCTGGGGACCCAGAGTGAGTATAGCTTTGCTGTTGCCTCCCTGGGAGTTTATTCTGTGGTTTTGGCACAACGCGGCAATCTGGGGGAGAAAGCAAAGTCTATGGATATGGTTGCCTTTTCTCCTCTAAGCCAACGAGTGCCTTGTTTTTCTGTGAGCCTGCCACTGTGGGAAAATTGCTCGAGTGTAAAGTTTCCCTCTTTGTCCCGAGCGCACTTCATTTACCAGCGAGCCAAGCTGGGAACAGAGCCGCCTCTCACACAGCTCATGAATGACTCCATTTTCTCAGGGCAGCCTGTGCCTGCCCATTGTCTAACTGTCATGGCCTCTTGTATAGGTGTTCCCTGCAGTCCAGGCTGTTACGTAAGGCCTGGGCAGGGAACACTGCGTGAGGGCAAGAGAGATCAGAGAGAGGAAAAACCCAGAGGGGAACCAAGACCAAAACATCTTCCTGGAGAAGAAGGGGGGGAAGTGCTAGCCATTTGTCAGCTCTTCCTCCGGCTTGCTTGCCTGAGTGATAAACTTTGGTTGCTGGCATACGGAGCCCCGTGCTGCTCCAGGAACACTTCCCTTTACATCTACAGACAGGACATGCTGTTCCTCTATGCCAGGGCAGCGGCACCCAGGTCCTCCCACAGGACTCTGACAGGAAATCTCTTATGGCCTAGGAGCAAAGGACTTTCCCTCGCCCCAGGCTTTCACTTTCTGTTTCTCCTTCGCCTGCTACGTCTTTGTTGGCTCAGGGATCTTCTCAGTTCTGCTCAGAGAAGCACACACCTTCTGAAGGCTCGCCTGTGGCGATTTCCTGGTAGTTCTGACTCTTCATCAGGCTCAGTGTTGAGAGGCAGCCATCACCTGGCATCCACGAACGGCACCCTAACCCCCACAGCTGCATCACCTGGCTGCCACGCTCTAAGCTTATCTGTTCCCTATCATCCCTTTTGACCACACTACCAGCATTGTGAAATGAAGGAAGGTGAATGGGTGCATATCATTCTCTGTCTGCCTTGGCCTCCCCTCAAGCCTGTTCTGTAGAATACTTGCCCTGGGCCAGATGTGGTGGCTCATGCCTGGATTGCCAGCACTTTGGGAGGCTGAGGCAGGTGGATCACCTGAGGTCAGGAGTTCGAGACAAGCCTGGCCAACATACTAAAAATACAAAAATTAGCTGGGCATGGTGACAGGTGCCTGTAATTCCAGCTATTAGGGAGGCTGAGGCTGGAGAATCACTTGAACCCAAGAGGTGGAGGTTGAAGTGTAATGAGATCACGCTATTATACTCCAGCCTGGGGCCTGGGTGACAAGAGCAAAACTCTGTCTCACCAAAAAAAAAAAAAAAAAAAAAAAAAAAAAGAAAAGAAAAAGAAAAAAATACCAGCCCTGGAGCCACAAGAAGAGACTTTACAACAAGTAAAATAAGATTCCCCGGGTAGATATCATGGGGGAACACTATATATTCTCCCCCACTCTTAGAAAGTCACAATGCATATCAGACCCTGAAATGTTTGCAGTAAAAACAAATATCACTTTGTTGTGACATTTTCCCAACTTACTGGATATCTGGTCTACAAGCTCCATGAAAACAGGGAGCTGGCCTATTGTTCATGGTTGAATATCTACTTCATAGCTCTGTGGGTGTCCACTAAGTGTGTTAAATTGAAGTGAATTTAACTGAATCTTTATTCCAAGTTGTATCTGTTAACCCCACAGAATTAACGTCCCGCAGAACAAACTTCGGCAAATGCTGGTTGATACCATGCACTAATTCTATCAATTACAGTGATGAGGAGGGAACAGGAGCACAGGGAGACACACATGGAAGATTTTCTGTTCCTCACATAAGAACAGGCTGCAGGAGATTGCTCTGTCCCTAGCTCTTTAAAAGAGCCTGGCCTGCCCATGAGCCACTCCACAGGGAAGAGGGAATGTGCATGTTTCTGGTGCTCACGCAGACCCCTTTCTGACTCGTCCCCTGTCCTCTCGTTTTGCTCGCCTATTCTTTGATCCCTTGGCTTTGGAGTCTGCCACACAGGAGGTTCCTCTCATCTGATGCTTCTCTTTATTATTTAAAAAAAAAATGGCCAGGTGAGGGGGCTTACACCTGTAATCCCAATACTTTGTGAGGCCGAGGTGGGTGACCCACCTGAGGTGAGATCAGCCTGGCCAATGGTGAAACCCTGTCTCTACAAAAAATACAAAAATTAGCTGGCATGGTCACAGGCACCTGTTATCCTAGCTACTTGGGCTGAGGCAGGAGAATCGCTTGAACCCAGGAGGTAGAGGTTGCAGTGAGCCGAGATCATGCCATTGTACTCCAGCCTGGACGACAAGAGGGAAACTCTGTCTTAAAAAAAAAACAACTCATTAAAAAAACCCAAACAAAACCAGAAATCTTATCTTAGGCTTGCTAACTGTAGCTTAGTTAGGGGTAAGAAAACCCTAGATTTGAATCCAGATTTGGCCATTTTCTGGCAGTGAGAAGTTTTAGAAATGTCTTGGGCCTATCTGAACCTCATTCTCCACTGTGTAAAATGAGGGTAATAACATGTGCCTCACAGAGTTGTTGTGAGAATTAAATGAGCATGTAAGCCTTGCACAGCGGGCTGGTATTTGGCCAGCACTCGGCACATGGCTGCCATTACTACAATCGTTCCTTCCCTTTCAGCTCCCCGCATTGCCTGCTGCCTGAGTTTGGGCATCTGCCCAACTCCAGGTGAGCCTCTTTCTCCCTCTGCTGGGTTAGCTCCATGAGACCCAGCTGGGTCTCTGGTTCAGATTTCCTCTGCCTCTGCGAACTTCTCTCCTCCCTCCTCATCGGTAGCTTCTTGGACTCATCCTTTTTACCACTTTTTTAATCTCTCTTTGGGGCCCCTACAGAAGGAAATAAGCCTTTATTAGCAGAATGTTTTGTAGTTTACAAGATTCTAATATAGCACCTCACTTAATCCTCATCATAATGCTCTGCAGACTGAGTTATCTGTCTACAGAGGAGAAAAAATGTGACTCAGTGACTTCGTCACTCACATAGCAATCAAACACCAGACGCTGGATTGGTACGCAGGTCTGGCTTCAGATGCAGCATCTCTGTCAGCCCTCACCATGGCTGCCACCTGGGTAACTGTGAAGCATAGCCCTGTCCTCCCGACCCCAGGATCCTGCCACCACCATCCACTTTCTACCTCCACTTAGGATTTGGCGCAGCTGTAAAAGAGGCCTGCAGGGAGAGGACATGGGGTGAAAGAAAGAGACAGAGGAGGAACGTGGAGGAAGGGAGACCAACCAATCCTCCAGCCACATGTCCAAGATTCTGGTCCTACTTCCTGACCCAAGGGTTCTCAGTCCCCATTTCCAGGATAGTAACACATCAAATGCCCACACCTACACCCAGGAACAGCAAACAAAGATAATCAGTGAAACACACAGAAGAAAAATCTGATTAGCATATTTGACAGTACAATATAAGGAACCTGTCACATTGTCAATGGGTAAAACACCTCAGAAACATCTAGGAAGACTTGTTTAGTCCTTGTTCTGTTGAGAAGAATACACGCACACACACACACATATACACATCCCTAAGGTACTGAAGTAAATAACAAAGGGATCTTCCCTGTTAGACATTCTTTATATCCCATCTGAAACAAATGTACAAGACCTAGTGACACGTTCCAGGTCATGTAGGGATCTAGGACGCATTTGTCTCTGTAAATCACAGAGCCTGTGGATGGGGGTTCCTGTGAAGGAAAACATGGTCTGGAGCAGTAAGCCGAGGGCAGCACCATGGACAGTCGCTCACCTGTCTTCTGATCATGGAGGCCTGTGCCCTAGAAATGTAGGAATTAGCAAGGAGAGGAGAGAAAGGAAAGGGGATCTTATTTTTTTGTAGAAAGAATCTTGCACTCCGAAAAGCAGGGCTGTCTCGCTCTTCTGTGGGGGTGGTGAATACCATTTTTGGAAAATTAGGACTGTGATACATATGTGTAAGAAAGGAATGGTCATCCCTTGCCCTCTGGTCTGGAGGTCCCAGGCATAGCCCGTCATACGCTTCTCTTCCTTCTGGACCACTTTAATTACTGTTTCTTTCTCTAGCCTCCCAGGCACGCTGAATCTCCTGTATTACATTCACTCAGTAGCCTGGAAACAAAGAGTTTAAAACCCTCTAACGTCATTTTTGTCTGCCATCCAAGAGTGCATTGAGAACTTAAGTTTCTACTTTTTCACAGAAGAGGGATTAAATAATTCTTCTGGTCTGAGCCCAGGTCATTAGGGGTGTTCTCACTACATATTCCTGCATAACAAACCTCTCCAAAAGTGTAGTGGCTTAAAACAGCATTTGTTTCACTCACAAATCTGCAGTTTTGGCAGGGTCTAGAGAACATAGCTCATCTTTGCTCACCTGGCATCAGCTGGAGCTGCCCTGAAGCTTCATGCCACACATGCAAGTGAATGAGCCTTCAGAAGGCTCCAGCCCCAGCCTTTGACTGTCAGTTCACTGGGAAGATGTAAAAATGAGAGCCAAAATAGCTGGGGCTCACTGGGCCTCTCCCTCTCTCTCCGTGATATCTCTACATGGCCTTTCTAACATGCAGCTTCATACAGTTGGACATCATACAGAGCAGCTTAGTGTTCCCAAGCTGTGGGTTGCCTTTTTTTTTTAAATATATACACGGTTTCACTCTATTATCAAGGCTGCAGTACGGTGGTACAATCTTGGCTCGCTGCAACCTCTGCCTTTCGGGCTCAAGCAAGCCTCCCAAGTGACTGGGACTACAGGCATGTGCCACCATGCCTGGCTAATTTTTGTATGTTTAGTCAAGACAGGGTTTCGCCCTGTTGCCCAGGCTGGTCTCCAACTCCTGGGCTCAAGTGATTCACCTGCCTTGGCCTCCCAAATTGCTGGAATCACAGGCACGAGCCACTGTGCCTGGCCAGGTTGCCTTTTATAACCCATCGTTGAAGTTACTCAGTATCATTTCCATGACATGATACTCATCGAAGCAGTCACAAGGCCCACCC